ATGTATTATACATTCATTTCATTAATATAATTTATGTATAGGAGTAAGTACAATAGATCCATAGATACAATGTATCCATATAGATGAATAAAATTACATTTGTACAATAAATTATATATTAATATTAAAATATACCAACACAATATAAACTCCGAATGCGTCACATAACTCTCAAACCATGAAATAACAAACCCACCATTAGATTGGAAAATGTGAGACTTTATAGCTGCCCTACCTATGGCAGGGTTCAAGATTGTATAGACATCGATTCAAAGGACACTAAGAAGCAGTGTTTTAAAACCCGGCCTGGCCTGGCGGGTTGACCCGGTGACCCGGTGAACCGGTCCCATAACCGGGCCGGTTTTGTAATTGGACCGTTTGAGCAAAGAACCCGGAATAAAACCAGTGAACCGGTCAAAACCGGACCGGGTTTACAAAACCGGCCGGTTTTGTTCCTTTAGTATAAATATGTTTTTTTTTTACATTTTTGTGTCTTTTTCTTTTCCCCTTCTGTTTTGCCCTAAATCCTAAATCATTCGTTCAGTGTTTGTTAGCTCAAAAATTAAGTGAATAAAATTAAGTAATTCAAGTTTGAGGGTGGAGGTTGGGCTGTTAATTGAAATGCAATTAAGTGATTCAGGCTTGATAACTTTGTTTGATTTAATATATATTAAACATGTTATTTTTATAACTATTTTAATTTTTTAGTCTATTTATCATCATTAATAATTATTTTTTATTTTTTTATTATATCACCGGTTCGACCAGTGACCCGGTGGTTGAACCAGAAATCCATTGACCCGGTCCCTTCTCCGAGTTGGTGTCCGGGCCGGGTTTTAAAACTATGCTAAGAAGCATCGATCGAGACGTTGCAAAAGAATAGTAGGCAAAACACACAAAATGCTCTATAAAACAATAAAATAAACATGACGAGAGATTCATGTTTTACTACAACGTTAGTTTACGCAAAATAATAATTTAATTAATTTTTCGCAAAGCAAAAAAATCGTCTCAAATAAATTTTTGATAAATAAAAAAAAATGTAAACACATTCACGACGCAAAAAAATTGGTACTAGTAACATTAATATAAAACGTCGCGATACGGTTCAATCCAAAATAATTGAATAAATACATTTGCGACGTAAAAAAAATCATTGCAAAAATGTTTGAACCAAAAACTAGTATAGAATTTTGCGACGATTAAAAAACGTCGCAAAAAAATATTGTTCCTACAATTTTTCGTGATGATTTTAATTTCGTGGGGAAAAAAATCATTTTTTAAAAAATAACCCTTCATAAAAAATGGTATTCCAATAAAATTTTTCACCTGTACACCATTAATAATTGTGTTCAATAAAAAACTAACACAGTTAATACATTTTACATTTTTCCATTCAACAACTAACACAAACTAACATCAAATACCATACTAACAAAAACACAAAATAGAATACCCTTAACAAAAGTTATACAAATCATCAAAATATACAACAACGTAATCTACATCCAAGTTTCTCAAAATATTTAAATACATAACCAAAAAATAATTCGTCAGTCACTTTGATGCAGAAGTCCGGAATTCATCTGTAACAAATAAGAAAAAAATAGATTAATAAATAATCAATCAATTTTGTTAAAAACATACAGGTTTTCTAATTCTTAAGTATTAAAATTTTTAATTTTTTCTTAAACTCTCAACCCGAGTCCCGAAATGAGATCTCGTCTTTTCCTACAAATTTATATATCCAAATAGTTCTTATTCGTCTCTTTTCACGGTTAGCATAGTTGTTTTTCTTTCACACTGAATGTAAAGTATTTGACAGGGTAGATTTGTTGGACATTCTTTTGTTCTTATTGAACTACATTACTTTTTGCAAATTTGCAGGATTAGCTCAAACCTTTTATGCAGAGGATCAAGTTTTTAATGATGTTAAACTGGATGGTGTAGTGACTTTGGTTGATGCTAAACATGCTAGTTTTCATCTGGACGAGATTAAGCCCAAAGGAGTAATCAATGAGGCAGTGGAGCAAATTGCTTATGGTGACCGCATTATAGTAAACAAGGTGCATTGCTGTAATTCTTTCTTCTGTATGGTCAGTATACTCTATTTTTGTTTGGATTTTTTTTCCTACCTATCTATCTACACTATCTTTGGTCTTATTGAAATTCAAAATATTCGGTATTGAGCATATCTAGCATTTGAAGAAAACATAGGTCCAAAACAAGAACGTATCAGCTTAAGCACTACCTTCAATGCAAGTCAACAAGAGAGCAAATCAAGTCATCAATTGGAACAGAAATCTTTCACTTCTCTCATTTTTGTTCATTGGTTTCAGGGTTATCTTCTGATGAAATTTCCAATAATTTGAACAGAGATAGCAGTGAGGTTTTTTTTTTGTTCAGCGGTGAGGTATTTTTCATAATATTAAACAGAGAATACATTATATGTTATCCGAAATTTCTGATAAATTCAACGAACAAATTTCTTACCTTATGAATCCCAAGCAACTTCACTCGAAACACCGAATATTTTATCTCTTCACTCGAACGTTTGAATCCAAAGTAACTTCGATGAATCACCAAGGAGGCAACTTCGATCAGTCACCAAGCAGCTTCACTCAAAACACTGAAACGTCACGCTACCAAAACGCCAAGAGAGAGAGAGAGTGGAAAGAGAAGTCAATCGTGAAGAAGGGGCTACTAGGGCTTACCCAAAACAGCATTGATTTTATTTTTTAAAAGACTCAAAGTGACGTCGTATTGGGTATAAAGGGTTTTTTTTAAAGCCCAAAAATGATGTCATTTTGGTTTTTTTTTTAAAAATTATATTATGTGACAAAAAATAAAACGTCGCAAATAATATTTTAATTTTAATTTTTCTTTAATTTTGATTTATAAATAAAAAATTTATATTCTGCGATGAATATCAAAATGTAGTAAATTAAAAAAAAATTATATTATGCGACGAACCTAAAAAAAAGTCGCAAAAAATATTATCAAAAAAGAATATTCCCGACAAACATATAAAAACGTCGCTAATTAATATTTTTATTTCATTTTTACTTTAATTTTGGTTTAAAAAATAAAATTTATTTTTTGCGACAAAAAATTAAAACGTCGCCAATTAATATTTTGACTTTATTTTGGTGACGATTTAATCCTATCTGCAACAAAATTCATCATAAAAAATTGTCAACTCCCACCGCTTCTCAAAATCGGGAGGGAATCACCATTTCGCGATGCAATTAGAAAAAACGTTGCAAAAAATTAACAAAATAATTATAAATTTGTCACAGATGAACGATGTCATTTTGGTTGTGTTGGTTTTTAAAAAATATAATCTACGACAAAATATAAAACATCGCAACTAATATTTTAATTCTAATTTAAAATTATAAAATTTAAATTCTTCAACGAATATAAAAATGTAACAAAATAATAATTTTATTTAATACAAAAATAAAATTTATATTCTGCGACGACTTTAGAAAAACGTCGCTAAAAAGTAAATATTCCCGACAAACTTATAAAAAACATCATGAATTAATTTTTTATTTTATTTTACTTTAATAACTAAAATTTATATTCTGCGACGAAAAACGTAAATGTCGCGAATTAAATATTTTGACCTTTTTTTAATTTTGATTTTAGATTATTTATTTTTTGCGACAAACTAAAATTATCTGCGACAAAAAAAAAATTGTTGTTAAAAATTATCAATTCCCGCCATTTCTCGCGCCAAAAAAATTGATATTTTTTCTTGTTGAAACATTATTTTTTCTTCACATGATATTTTCATTAAGTTGTATAACTCTCCTCCTACCAATCTACATAATAACTCTGGCACTATTTGCTCTATTATTTTATCTTTTCCCATTTGTGACATGTTTGGTTTGTATTTCGAATATGGTGTGAGTTCATTTTCTTGATGTTCGTCTTGATTGGGACTGGTTATTAATGTATGGTATTAAATTAAAAAGAAAAACGTACACTCTCATGTGATTAAATTCAATGCCAAGTCAAAGGTGCTTTTGTCATTTTTAATCCTAATATCATGTAGCATTGATGTTGTACCACCTATATCATAGGGATCTAGTTTGTACACGAATGTGATATTAGTTGACAGTATAACATCGAACCAAGTCAACATTAGCTTGTGTTATAAGACAAGAGCTATGTAACTTGTTTCAAATATGGTATTTACTTTGGACTAATTTCTTTAAATCCTGCCTTTAATATCCGAATCAAACATGCTCATAATGAAAATTTTGCATGGGATTCACAATCAATAGAGGGTGTTGTTTTTAAAACTAAAACCTATAAGATATTGAATCGAGCATCATTTATTTTAAATATAAAGGTGTTTTGACTTTATTGAATATAAATTAACCATTATAAGTAAAAATCTGTTCCCAATCTAGGTTCCTTGGATCCACGTATTTCTATTGACAATCATAAATATCATTTTGTTGGTTAACATTCATTTAAACATTTGATGATAAAAATGTAGTTTTTTGTTGTGTCTCCTTAGAAGAAAGAAAAACCTTAAAAATAAGTCAGATATATAACTAAATGCAGATTTAATGGAATCTGCTCAGTGTTCATGACATTTTCTTAATTTATTTTTTAAACGTTGCATTCTGATATGATTAAAAATTATAGAGTTATGAAAATAATGATTTAAGCAAAAATTCATTGTAAACTTGTGACATTAGTCTATATGTCATTGAATTTCTTTCATATGTTCATGACGATGATCAATAAATTTAGTTATTTCAGTTGTATGGCAATTAGTAAATACCGTTTATTTACTCACTTCCCCTAGTTTATTTAGACTATATATAAAATCAAACTGAAGTTGAAGACAAGTAGACAACGCTGTAGGCAAGAAAAAAAATCACACAGATTCAAAGCAACACATCAAATTAACTTCTTGAGGTCACCCTCTTATTGAACATGAACGTAGAAGAAAAACCCAAGTGCCTTCAATGTTCACATTAAGCAATCTTCAATGTGCTTTCAATATCCAGAACAAATCGGTATTTAACATCGTTTTTATCGAGACGTTCCATTGCTGTGTTCACGTAGTCTATAGGAATAACCTTCACATCTGCTGTAATATTGTGTTTTGCTGCAAAATCAAGCATCTCTTGCATTTCTTTCAACCCTCCAATGTCAATCCCAACCACTATTTTTCGACCTATCATTCCATACCCTAAGTCAGCTATACTGTCTTGTTCAATTTAGTTAATAAATCCAAGTTTTTTATATCAAAAACTAATGCTACAAAACTTAAAGTTGCACAAGACCATTAATCACAGCTCTTTTCGTAGATACCAATAAGTGAAGTGTACTTACCGAGAATCAAAGAACACATTGGCAGATCTAGAGGCTCCAATGGTCCACCGTTCATAACAAGCTTTCCTTGGATTTTCAATAGATCAATTAAAGGTTGAAGAGGATGAATTGCAGGGACAGTATCAATGATATCATCTAGTGTGCCCATTGCAATCTAGTCATATCAAACATAATAGCACGAGGACTAAATATCATAAAACATCTCGATATGAGATGAAGAAGTAGTCTAGTTGTAAATGCTCACTCACATCCATAGGTGGTTGCGACTTCTCCTCTTTTCCCCTCCCCCAACCCCCTCCAAAAAATAAAAGTAAAAAAAGCAAAGAGTCCTACTAATTAATAATTACCAGCATCTGATCGGGGTCACTACTGACCAAAAATGAGTCAACATCAAGGTTTTTTATAGCTCTCTCTTTCTTTTCAGGGGATGTACTAATCACTGTCACTTTACCACCAAGTGCCTTTACAAATTTCACAACTAAATGGCCATGTCCTCTTAGACCCACCACCCCAATGTGCATACCTGGCATGTCGAGTCCAAAATACCTCAATGAACTGTACATTGTGATTCCTGCACCAAGGAGAGGAGCGCCGAAATCTAGAGGTAAGTTGTCCGGCCAACGAAGCACAAAGTGCTCGTCGGCGACCGTGTGATCAGAGAAACACCCATGGATTATGATTCCATCAACGTAGGGGGGACTGTCTGTGAGCATTTGTTCAGGACAATAATTTTCAATGCTGTTAGCACAGCTCTCACATTTCCAACATGACCCTACCAAGCATCCCACGCCCACTTTGTCTTCAACTTTGAACTTTTGTACGTTCTTACCCACTTCGGTCACTACACCCACAATCTCATGCTTGCATTGATCATTTCAGTTTATATGAGATATACGTCAAAAACAAAATTATTGGTCCCCAACTCGTATTAAGTCACCAAACTATTTGTTACTTCGACAAAGTAATCAACTGGGTCTAGACTAGTTGATGACTGGATTCTCTCGAGAAGAAAATCTAAGGGTCAAGGAGTAAACTTTATCTAAGCCAATGGTTGATTTCTCTCAATGTCCTCCGCTTCGATGTTCAATTGAGCCCCTCTTTGGGGCTACTCTTTCACCCCCTCAATGGATTTTCTCCTTTGTTATAGTTGCGTGGTAATTGATGCCAATATTAATCTATTTACGTGTATGAAGAAAAAAAAATCAGTAAATGTACATATTAAATGAGTGACCGACCAAACAATGCGTTATACATACCCTAGAACAGTGGGATACATTGCAGCGCCCCAATAATTCTTATTCATCATAAGGTCTGAGCGACAGATCCTACAATATAATACCTTTAATCTCACATCTTGATCACCAGTAACTCTGAACAATTAGACCACACACATTATAACCACCACCATCATCGTATCAATAAACATGGTCACTCAACCTAGATATATAACTAAAATATTTTAAACTAGCTCATGAAAAGTATGTCATGTCACAAGGATGAAAGACTTTCATATTGGTAATTTATAATGAACCAAATATTTTCTTCCATTAAGGGAGAAACCCAAACCAAACCTTCTTGAAAACGTGAAGGGAGAGAGAACACCAGATGGGTCTCGACAATCCCCTCCAAAAGCCTCCACCTCTTGTGATTTTGACATGAGTAAAGAGAAAATAAGAATCTTGAATGATTTTCAGCTATGTGGCGACTTGTTTCTTTAGTGTGTGGGGAATTATGGCTTGGGCTTTGTGAGGTTGCATTGCTATCTATATATATATATACGTGTGTGAGTGTGTGAATGAGAGTGAGAAAGAGAGGAAGATATTGCAGATTCCGAAATATAATATATATATGCCATGCACGGTGCATGTACGATGAAATGACCAAGTGAGGTCACAGGATGCACTAGGTTTATGGAATAATTTCAGAGCAGAATCAAGATCTTTGAGCCAACTGTCTAATGGTATGGACAAATTAGATGAATATAGAAACCCCTCGTGGGGCGCGAGGAGACATCAGATAATATCAGCTTTTTTGCCTTGTTTGTTGTCAAGCATTCAGATATGAGGATTATTTTGTAGGTTTTGACATGGCTGGTCCCTTTTACATTGTTATCATGGTCGGTCTGGGTTCGATCCCTTTTTAGCTTCTCTAATCTTAATATTTGAGGCAAGTTAAAATAAGATAGAAAATGAGAATTACAGATAGTATAGGTTAGATAGCGGAAACTGGAAAGTTAGAGATAGTATCAGAAGTTAGATAAATAGATAGAATGTGGAGAATTATAAATGATTACAACTTAATAATTGGTAGCATTGTGCCATCTTCATATACATATATACTAGTTATTTCTCGTGCCTGAAGACACGGAGTAATAAAAAAATTGGTTAACATATTTGTATTCATACTCAAGATTAAATCACAAACATAGAGGAGAGATAAAAAAATTTAAAGATCGATTGTAGTGGGGGTGAGCGGTGGTAGTAGTGGTGGGCGACAGTGGCAGTGATGACAGACGGTAATGATTGTGGGGAAGAAGGCAGCGACCGTGGTGGTGGTAGCAACCGTGGGTGGCAATGGTGATGGTGGTGGTGGGCAACGATGGGTGGTGGCGAATGGCGATGGTGATAAGCGTGGTGGAGCTAGATGACAGTGGGTGGTTACAGTGGTGGGCGATGACAAGTGCTGGTGGTTGGTGATGGGGTAGGTGACAGTGGTTGGTGGTGATGCATGATGGTGGGTGTTGAGGGTGGGCGACGGTAATAGTGGGATGATAGTGATAATGATAATAAATATAAGAATAAGATGACAATGGTAGTGAGTGATGGCTATAGACGACAATGGTACCAATCGGTGGTGGGTGGCGATGGCGGTGGCAGCGGTGGCGATGGGGCAGTGAGGTGGGGGGTGGGGGTGAGGGTGACGGTGGTGGGTTGGCGATGGTAGTTGTAATTATGATGGACGTGGGGGTAGGGGTAGGGGTAGGGGTNGGGGGGGGGGGGGGGGGGGGGGGGGGGGGGGGGGGGGGGGGGGGGGGGGGGGGGGGGGGGGGGGGGGGGGGGGGGGGGGGGGGGGGGGGGGGGGGGGGGGGGGGGGGGGGGGGGGGGGGGGGGGGGGGGGGGGGGGGGGGGGGGGGGGGGGGGGGGGGGGGGGGGGGGGGGGGGGGGGGGGGGGGGGGGGGGGGGGGGGGGGGGGGGGGGGGGGGGGGGGGGGGGGGGGGGGGGGGGGGGGGGGGGGGGGGGGGGGGGGGGGGGGGGGGGGGGGGGGGGGGGGGGGGGGGGGGGGGGGGGGGGGTGGGAAGGGGGGGGGGGGGGGGGGGGGGGGGCAATGACGATGGTGGGTGGGTGGTGGGGGTGATGGTGGGATAGTAGCGATGGTTGTAAGGTGCGACAACAATGATGATGATGGTAGGGTGCAACAGTAGTGGTGGTGGGGATGGTGATGGCCTGGTGGTGGGGCGGTGGAAATGATGGTGGTGGTAGTGATAGTGATGATGTGGGGTGGTAGTAGTGGTGGGCGGTTGTGTAGTGGTTATGGTGGTAGTGGGGCAATGGAGTGGTGATGGTGGTAGTAAGGTGGTGGTCGTGGGTATGGTAGGGTGGCAATAATGATGGTGGTGGGGGTGGGGGTGGGGGTGTTAGAGGTAGTGGTGGGACGGTTTCAAAAATTATTTTTTTTTTTAAATATTTATGAGAAATAATTTCTAAAAGTACTTTTAAAAAGTCACTTCAAATACATCTTTAGGGGCCTGGTTTTTATATTAAATTTGAGGTGTTAATATTAACCGTTATATTAACTTTAAACTAAAATTTAAAGTGATCTCAACCTCGAATAATAAAAGTCAGTTTATTTATCTTTTGAAATTTGAATTATATATATATGTGAGTGTGTGTGTGTGTGTCAAGCGTGGTGCATGTTCGATGAAATGCTTAGTTGAGCTCTTAGGAGACATTAAGTTTATGCATAATTATTGCCATAATTTGTTGAACTAATCTTTCATAGCAGTTAGATTGATGGTAGATTCTAGTATTTGTTGGGATCCGTTACAAATTCAATTATTATGATGCATTAAGTCAAAAAATTATGTTTAAATAACATTATTTTTTAGGAGACGTAATGAGAGGATATAATTCATTATCAATACAATGGTTACAATTCATTACGTACTGTTCTTAAATCATCAAATTAAATACAAGTGGTTCTATTGTAATTTCGATGTATAATCAGCAAGATTATTTCAGCAAACTTTGAAATGTAATTAACAAATTTAGATGCGTATACACAAACCACATAAGACCCTCGCGGAGCACGAGGCCTCACAAAAAGTAGTTTGGTCTCTTTTGGAGCCATATGGTGTTCATGGTGGGTACTACCTGCTCACATTCCCATAGTATATTATCTATATGAATTCGGTATGTAGTCTAGTATTGTGTAAAAAGATCGAGGTTCTATATTAGATTTTAACGCTACTCCACTAGTATAAATAGTCTATATAAAGCAGCTCACTAGTATTTTATTATCATCACATATCACTCTTCAAAATAAGTCTGATAATTCTAGACACGACTTGTGAACTAGACATAACATTTATACAAAGTTAATAGATTAGTGTTGGATTAGATAGAAGAGTAGGGTCTTTGGTCAATATGAACATAGGTCAAGACATTTTATCTCTAGTTTAGTCAATCAAAAAATAAAATATTTAATTTAGGGGGCAGTGGGTCTCTATTTAATTAAAAATTAAAAAAAAAATCAGGGCCATTGTAGAAATTTATAAAAAAAAAAAAATAGGCAGGCAAATATCGTAAATTTCATGAAATTGTAGTTTGTCCAATTTTTTGTTTTGGGCAGGTAGTTTGTTCTTTAACTATCGATTTTCTCGTAAGACTGTCTCGATTATTTGAATTGTTTCACATTATTCGCAAGAAAATGTACGATATGCTTTGGACGAAAAATGCCTAAATACGTAGTAAAATACACGTTTTTTAACATACAAAAATCTGGCAATGTGAAACCAATAATTATAGCTACAATGTTCCCGTCGTTATTTGCTAATATTGAATTTTTTGTGTGTGAAACATTATTTTTTCTTCACATGATATTTTCATTGAGTTGTATAACTCTCCTATTTGCTCTATTATTCTACCTTTTCTCATTTGTAACATGTTTGCTTCATATTTAGAATAAGGTGCCAGTTCATTATCTTGATGTCGGTCTTGGTTGGGGACTGGGTATTAATGTATGTTATTAAATTAATAAGAAAAACATACACCTTCATATGATCAAATTCAATACCAAGTTAAAGGTGCTTTTGTCATTTTTAATCCTAACATCAAGTAACATTGATGTTGTACCGCCTATACTATAGGGATCTAGTTTGTACATGCATGTGATATCAGTTGATAGTATAACATCGAGCCAAGTCGGTATTAACTCGTGTTATAAAACAAGGGTCACATAACTTATTTCAAATACTGCATTTTTTAGGACAGAGTTAGAATTTTATCTTTAAGGGGTCGAACCTTAAGCACAAAAATTCACACATCCTAAATTCTAAATTTCCAATTTGATAATATAATATATTTAATACAAACAAAGCTACCGACACATACTACCATAAGATAAACAAAAGAAATAGTTTCTAATACATATTAATCATATTGTCTAATGCTCAGCTAAAATTGAGTAGTTCAAAAAAAAAAAATTGTATGCTCAC